AACGCATAACGACATTGCCAGGGGACATTAGCCACGGTAGGCGTCCCGGCCGATGCAATGTACTGCCGCCTTCAGCGCCGCCTGACGCCGCTCCCACAAACGACCCCAGCGTAAACTTAACGCCAGCTGCGCGCGCAGACGAGCTGTGTCTTCAGCCACATACGTCTGTCCGCCACGCTGCGCCCAAGTTGGGCCACAATATACCGTTCCTACCGTGATATTTCAGGCTGTTGCAGCAGTATATGCACGTCCGTGCAGCAGTGACACGCGTCCGCAGCCTACACCGGGACGCGGCAGTCACTGTCTAGTGCTCGCAATGGGCTGGTCAAGGCCGTAGCAGAATAACGTGGACTCAACCACAGCAGTCAGGGCTGCGATGGTCATCTCGTGCGCGCACGGCTTAGCAGTGGAATACATGACGTCGATGCGCAGCTGTCGGCAACGGGTGATCCAGGGGCCAACCAACGTCCACGTCCCAGCAGGAGAACATATGATAGCGATCTAACTAATCCGCAGCGCAGTAATGTGTGTCTTGGCAGCCGTATGAGAAGTTCAACGCAGCATCAACAGCATCATTAACCATTCCCAACAAGTCTATCAAAGCTGTTGTAGAAAAAAAAACTGTTGTTTGGGCTTGTAGACCCACAGTTCAAGCACGTACCACCAATGTACAAAGTTCAAAGCTGTACCAGCGAAACACGGACCGGCGGACCCGGTCGCAATGAGTCACGGGGGACAAACTTCTCCAACTCCAAAACACCAAGCTCGCTGGGAGAGCTTTCCACTGAACTCGCCACACTTCCCCTGAGGCTGAACGAGCGCCACGCCGCTGCCTGACAGCTCTATTTGTATGCTAACGTCGTCAACACCGCCCTGAGCGTGCCGGCCGCTTTTTAGTGGCGCTGGCCGCCGTCAGCGGCGTCAGCAGCGTCCGCGGCGGCGCCGCAGCGGCGGCCCGGCTGCGTGCCGGGCCAGCCGGCAGAGGCGGGTCCAGACCACACACGGGCGCGTTCCGCAGTCGAGCTCGCGGCGCGCCGTCTGCACGCCCGACATTCGGAGACAGCTGGCGTGGCATCCCGACAGTAGCTACCCTTCACACGCACCCTTCAAGACATCATGTTTCACGGCACCAACGCACCAACGCTCCTGAGGGCATTTTCATCTGGACTTCCGTAGAACGCCCGGCCACGTCCCCTAAGAGCACGTGAATGGCCGTCTCCCGCCAGACGAACGGAGCAAATGGCCCACTCGGCAGAGCGGCCGTCCCGGCCCGCCGGCCGTGGCCACATCCGGGCAGCAGCGATCGCTCGTCAAGCAAGCCGAGTCCCTCGCGCCGCGCCGCGATGCCGCCCGCGCACAGCCCACACCGCCACCGTTTGAAGCCCGCGTAAAAAACGCTCCAGTGGCGCGCGCCTGTGGCCGTAACCGAGTTTGATGCGAAAATCGATGGCCGCGGCCGGGTCGGCGCCAACCGCGCCGGGCGCCGGCTTTCCACAGCGGCGGTTAATGAGGCCGGAACGGTCGCGTAATTGGGAGACGAAGGCACCGTCGGCGACTCTCCGCCGCAAAGGCACCTGGCAAATGAGCGCCGCTGTCGAGATGGCCGACGAATCAGAGGGATTTCCCAGGCGGCGGCGGCGCGCTCGCGGATATTTCGGTGGAACTGCGGATTCTGGTTCCGGCTCCACACCCCCGGAGCCGAGTCTGGCAGCCGCCGAGCGCGACGCAGCGTCAACAGCCGACCCCAGGAAGAGGCTTTTGCAGCCGATAAACCCAATAGAGAGGCGCCCGGGCGAAGCTGTTCACGCGGTTACAAATGTACGATATTACACTAGTTCGGCACTCCCGCCCCTCCTGGAAACATACTATCTGTGGAGGTACCTTGTTGTGCGAACATTGATTTTAGAAATGAAATCACCAGGATGGATGTGCCCAAAGGAGGCCGTGCTGGAGATGCGCAGAGGCCGTGCTGGAGATGCACGGAGATCGTGCTGGGGATGCGCAGAGGCCGTGCTGGGGATGCACAGAGGCCGTGCTGGAGATGCACAGAGGTCGTGCTGGATACACAAAGGTCGCGTTGAGATGCACAGAAGCCATGCTGGTGCTGCTGAGATGCGCAGGGGACGTGCTGGAGATGCACGTGCTGGCGATGCACAGAGGTCGTGCTGGAGATATACAGAGGTCGAGCTGGAGACGCACAGAGGTCGTGCTGGATATGCACAGAGATCGTGCTGGAGATATACAGAGGTCGTGCTGGAGATGCACGGAGGTCGTGCTGGAGATATACAGGGGTCGTGCTGGAGATGCACGGAGGTCGTGCTGGAGATATACAGGGGTCGTGCTGGGAGATGCAGGAGGTCGTGCTGGAGTATGCAGGGTAGTGATGAGGAGATGCACGGAGGTCGTGCTGGAGATATGGGTCAGGGTCGTGCTGGAGATGCACGGAGGTCGTGCTGGAGATATGCAGGGGTAGTGCTGGAGATGCACGGAGGTCGTGCTGGAGATATGCAGGGGTAGTGCTGGAGATGCACGGAGGTTGTGCTGGAGATATACAGGGGCCGTGCTGGAGGTGCACGGAGGTCGTGCTGGAGATATGCAGGGGTAGTGCTGGAGATGCACGGAGGTTGTGGTGGAGATATACAGGGCCGTGCTGGAGATATGCAGGTGGTAGTGCGTGGAGATGCACGGAGGTTGTGCTGGAGATATACAGAGGTTAGTGCTGGAGATGCACGGAGGTCGTGCTGGAGATATGCAGGGGCAGGGGGTAGTGCTGGAGATGCACGGAGTCGTGCTGGAGATATACAGGGGTAGTCTGGAGATGCACAGGGTCGTGCTGGAGATATGCAGGGGTAGTGCTGGAGATGCACGGAGGTTGTGCTGGAGATATGCAGGGGTAGTGCTGGAGATGCACGGAGGTTGTGCTGGAGATATGCAGGGGTAGTGCTGGAGATGCACGGAGGTTGTGCTGGAGATATGCAGGGGTCGTGCTGGAGATGCACGGAGGTCGTGCTGGAGATATGCAGGGGTAGTGCTGGAGGTGCACGGAGGTCGTGCTGGAGATATGCAGGGGTAGTGCTGAAGATGCACGGAGGTTGTGCTGGAGATATACAGGGGCCGTGCTGGAGATGCACGGAGGTCGTGCTGGAGATATGCAGGGGTAGTGCTGGAGATGCACGGAGGTTGCGCTGGAGATATACGGGGGCCGTGCTGGAGATGCACGGAGGTCGTGCTGGAGATATGCAGGGGTAGTGCTGGAGATGCACGGAGGTTGTGCTGGAGATATACAGGGGCCGTGCTGGAGATATGCAGGGGTAGTGCTGGAGATGCACGGAGGTTGTGCTGGAGATATACAGGGGTAGTGCTGGAGATGCACGGAGGTCGTGCTGGAGATATGCAGGGGTAGTGCTGGAGATGCACGGAGGTCGTGCTGGAGATATACAGGGGTAGTGCTGGAGATGCACGGAGGTCGTGCTGGAGATATGCAGGGGTAGTGCTGGAGATGCACGGAGGTTGTGCTGGAGATATGCAGGGGTAGTGCTGGAGATGCACGGAGGTTGTGCTGGAGATATGCAGGGGTAGTGCTGGAGATGCACGGAGGTTGTGCTGGAGATATACAGGGGCCGTGCCCTGAGGTCATCCAGAGGCCATAAAATATCCATTACTGAAGAATGACTCCATCAAAATTTGGTCCCAGGTATGCTAATTTGCAATACACGCCACGACGGTGAATAAATCATGGTGACACACATGATGCAAATACCGGCAAGGTTTTCAGTCGCGTAGTCGATAACCAGTTGCAGCCTGTGAGGAAACAGCCCGCTTCAAAGGATACTATCAAAGTAATTGAGCACACTTGCCACTGTCGAGTCCTTTCCTCACAGCAGGCTCAGCTTACACATATTCTGACGCAATGTCAGGCCCTGCAAAGCTACATGCAGAACGTGAGAACTTCTTACCGTGTTCTTACGGTGCGTAACGGTGATAAGATAAGTTACCCTTGCGCCCAATCTGGCATAGATCTCCCCACATTACGTAGTAAGGTGATACGACGCTGTCAACACACGCATACGGTAATACTAGAATACGGCAATGACAGTAGCCGCGCGCCTTCACTGATAAAAAAGAGCAAATATTTAGTCCGCGCACAACTAACTGCGCCGTGCTCAGGATGACAACTGCAGCCTGGCTTCCTGTCTGTGACTCGGTCCGCGCTCGCAACACAACACCACGTTCAAAACAACGGCTTCGTTGGATCTTCAGAGGCTGTGTGGTAAAGCTGTGCGATACGTCAGTGCCTGGAAAACAGATCGGCCCCGCGCACTTTGTATCTGGCCGGGCGCCAAACAGTCAACAGAGCCCCGTGCACGATACCGCGCCGCTACAGAGCGCCCACTGCCACCGCGGAGGCGCCGATACAGAGTGCCCACCGCCACCCCGGAGGCGCCGATACACAGTGCCCACTGCCACCCCGGAGGCGCCGATACAGAGCGCCCACTGCCACCCCGGAGGCGCCGATACAGAGTGCCACTGCCACCCCGGAGGCGTCACTACAGAGTGCCCACTGCCACCCCGGAGGCGCCGCTACAGAGTGTCACTGCCACCCCGGACGCGCCGCTACAGAGTGCTCACCGTCACCCCGGAGGCGCCGCTTCAAAAACCCCACCGAAGCTGGCGAGTGTCAACGCTCGGCACCTGCAGATGGGCAAGCCAGCCTCGGGCCAGACGGCGCGATAAGACGACGGTTACCGTAATACCGGCGCCACGTCTATAGCAAGCAGCAACTCAGCAAAAAAGCGATTAAGCGGAGAAAGCCAACGGAAAGACCAACTTTGGTGCCGACTATTCGTGCGCAAGAAAAAAAATAAAGAAGCGCCGGTGTACCTGACGCCTCAGCGTGCTGCAGACACGAGGGTGCCGACACGTCATTACATGCAGAACGTGGGGCAGACGTCAATCCGCCAGGTCAGGTCAGGTCAGGTCAGGTCAAGGTCGAGTCGAAGTCAGGTCAGGTCCAGTTCCAGGCAGGGATTCTGGGCGCTGTGCCCTGTCAGCGGTATTCGGGTGGGCGCGGATCCCCGCTCACCTGTCGCCGGCGTGTCGGCGGTGCCCGGCAGGCCCGGGAGGAAGTGCTGGTACAACCGCCGCTCGTGCTCCATCAGCTGGTGCCGCGACTCCACCTGCCACAGCACCCGCTCCAGGTCCATCACCAGCTGGGGAGGAGAAGGTGTGTCACCAGACTATCACCAGCTGGTGCCGCGACTCCACCTGCCACAGCACCCGCTCCAGGTCCATCACCAGCTGGGGAGGAGAAGGTGTGTCACCAGACTATCACCAGCTGGTGCCGCGACTCCACCTGCCACAGCACCAGGTCCAGGTTCATCACCACGTCCGAGACTTCTTCGCCATCTGTTTGTGGGAAGTGCGAGACTAGACCCGCAGTGCTCAAAACGCGTCGAACACGCAGTCCAGAACGGAGCGCTATATCTTATCTCCGCCTCGTTATTACGAAAGAAAGAACCGCCTCTGTAGTAACGGCAACCTTCCTTGTTTTTTTTTTAGCCAGCTTCTTTGTGGGAACATCTAGCAAACAAGACCAATCAAATTCCCGTCATCCAGTTTTTTTTTAACTACGAAAGTTTGTGAGTGTGTCAGCAAAAGCACGGCGAGTCGTCAACAGCTAATTCATCCTCCTGCTCTCTGCAGCACGACCGCAGTTCCCGCTCTCCATGCCCCTTCCCTCCCCTGCCGGAGCAGCCACCCACACCTGATATGACACTTCTCCTTTTCAGGGACTAACGGAGATTGCATTCGGTAGCGCCTCAGCGAGCGGGTCGAAGATTAAACGGTCCCAGGCTCTGTTACGCCAAGTTGGAAATGTCAACACCTCCCAGACTGCCAATCAGAATCCGAAGCGGGGAAATCCCAACATGCCGCACTAGGCACGCCAACAAATCAGCAAACGCCGCTGATTGCGACAACAACGTCATAAACTTAAGAATGACGCGGTCTGCTGACGCCCTACACATTTCCCCCCACGCATCAGTTACGCCGTGACCTTTGTCAGTTCCACCGCGACCTTTACGCCCTCGCCGTGGGGAAGGCGACCGCCGCCGGAACCGGGTCAGGCCGGCGCCGCGCCGCAGCGAGAAGGCTACAGTGACGCAGACTTGTACCATTTTAAGCGTCGGGGTTAGAGGACGGTCAGTTAAAAGTATCTAGGCGGTCATCTACGGTGTGGGTCAGTGGTGCGTACCTGGTGACTGTTCGACAGAACGGTTGTCAGTTAGGAGTATATATGCGGTCATCTACGGAGTGGGTCAGCGGTGCGTTCCTGGTGACTGTTCGACAGAACGGTTGTCAGTTAAAAGTATCTAGGCGGTCATCTACGGTGTGGGTCAGTGGTGCGTACCTGGTGACTGTTCGACAGAACGGTTGTCAGTTAGGAGTATATATGCGGTCATCTACGGAGTGGGTCAGCGGTGCGTTCCTGATGACTGTTCGACAGAACGGTTGTCAGTTAAAAGTATCTAGGCGGTCATCTACGGAGTGGGTCAGCGGCGCGTTCCTGATGACTGTTCGACAGAACGGTTGTCAGTTAAAAGTATCTAGGCGGTCATCTACGGAGTGGGTCAGTGGTGCGTACCTGATGACTGTTCGACAGAACGGTTGTCAGTTAAAAGTATATATGCGGTCATCTACGGAGTGGGTCAGTGGTGCGTTCCTGGTGACTGTTCGACAGAACGGTTGTGAGTTAGAAGTATCTAGGCGGTCATCTACGGAGTGGGTCAGCGGTGCGTTCCTGATGACTGTTCGACAGAACGGTTGTCAGTTAAAAGTATATATGCGGTCATCTACGGAGTGGGTCAGTGGTGCGTACCTGGTGACTGTTCGACAGAACGGTTGTCAGTAAGAAGTATATATGCGGTCATCTACGGAGTGGGTCAGTGGTGCGTACCTGGGACTGTTCGACCAGAACGGTGTCAGTTCAGAATTTTTTAGAAGTATATATGCGGTCATCTACGGAGTGGGTCAGTGGTGCGTACCTGGTGACTGTTCGACAGAACGGTTGTCAGTTAGAAGTATATATGCGGTCATCTACGGAGTGGGTCAGTGGTGCGTACCTGGTGGACTTGCTATCGACTAGGACCGTTGTGAGTTAGAAGTTATCTAGGCGTTCACTCTACGGAGTGGTTCACAGTGGGTGCGTACTGGTGACTGTCGAAGAAACGGTGGTCATTTAGCAGTTAGAAGTATATATGCCGGTCATCTACGGATTGGGTCAGTGGTGGTACCTGTTGAATTGTTTCGACAGAACGGTTGTCAGTAACCGTATCTAGGCGTCATCTAAGGAGTGGCAGTGGTGCGTTACCTGGTGACCTGTTCGACAGAAACGGTTGTCAGTTAGAATTTATATGCGGTCATCTACGGAGGGTTCAGTTGTGCGTACCTGGTGACTGTTCGACCGGGACCGTTGGTGGAGTTTAGACGTATCTAGGCGGTTTATCTAAGGAGGGGTCAGTGGTGCGTACCTGGTGATGTTGACAGACCGTTGTCGTTGTGAGTTAGAAGTATCTAGGCGGTTATCTAAGGATTGGGTCAGTGGTGCGTAACCTGTGGACTGTTCGGAAGGACCGTTGTGAGTTAGAAGTATCTAGGCGGTTATCTAAGGAGTGGGTCAGTGGTGCGTACCTGGGTGACTGTTCGACAGGACCGTGTGTTGAGCTTAGAAGTATCTAGGCGGTTATTCTAAGGAGTGGGTCGTGGTGCGTACCTGGTGACTGTTCGACAGGACCGTTGTGAGTTAGAAGTATCTAGGCGGTTATCTAAGGAGTGGGTCAGTGGTGCGTACCTGGTGACTGTTCGACAGGACCGTTGTGAGTTAGAAGTATCTAGGCGGTTATCTAAGGAGTGGGTCAGTGGTGCGTACCTGGTGACTGTTCGACAGGACCGTTGTGAGTTAGAAGTATCTAGGCGGTTATCTAAGGAGTGGGTCAGTGGTGCGTACCTGGTGACTGTTCGACAGGACCGTTGTGAGTTAGAAGTATCTAGGCGGTTATCTAAGGAGTGGGTCAGTGGTGCGTACCTGGTGACTGTTCGACAGAACGGCTATCAGACGCATGGGCGTGTTTCAAGTGTCCCTCGGCTGTCGGTTTGTTCTTGTTAGCGCATTAAGAGCGGGCCGCGTTCGGGGTGTGCATGGTAGCTGCTGAACTGCCGGGCCTGCATGCCCAGTGCACGAAGTTTTTCATTGCAACCAATATTAGAAAGAACTGGTTGCAAACGCCGTAAACGCCGGTTGGCGGCGATCTTAGAATTCGTCTCAAACCAACTACAAGTACGACCCCTACCTGCGCAATAAACATCGTGTCTGTCTCTCGCCCGCTGTCGTTATCGCCGCCGCCGCGACGCCCGTCGCCATGCTTACCTCGGAGCGAGACACGTCGGCCTGGAGCCGCCCGCAGAGCCACTCGCAGCGGCGCTTCTCCTGCCGGAGCCGGCGCAGCGCGTCCTCAGAACGGCGCAGCCGGTTCTCCAGGTCACGGCTGGTGCGCCGCAGCCGCTCACACTCGTCCGACGAGCTCTGCCGACGTGGAGGCTCGGCGTGAGTGCCACCGCAGAAGCGGGCTCGTTTCCCAGCCGGCAGAGTTCATCGCGAAACACATATTCGGTAGCGTCACATTGAAGTCGCCAGCTCTGTAGAACGATAACGCGTCGGCGATGCCCAGAAAATGGCCCCGCCCAGGTGACCGGCCACCGGCGTCAAGCAAGCACGTTCCCTGGACGCCATCGGCCAACTCCATTCCAAGACGATCAGTCCCCCCACCTCCCGCTGAGCAGTCGCCGGACATCAAGCCTCCCGCGTTGTCTGACGACTCCCGGAGGGCGCGCTCTCACCTCCAGTGACGCTCTCAGCCTGTTCAGCTCACGGTCGCGCATCGCGAGCACCTGGTTCGCCTCGTCCAGCTCCAGCTTCCGGTTGGCCAGTGCTGCCTCCATTTCCTCCTGTCGCTCGGCCGCCACCTGAAAACCGAACGTTTTTCAATCATGCCATTCAGGCGCGCCGGCCCGCCTCGCCCAAATCGCGCCGCCGGAAAAGGCGGGCCGCCACGGACGGGCCACAAATAAGGCTGGCGGTGGCGAGTGAGGCCGGTCGTCCAGAGGCCGCGGGACCGGCCGCGGCTCAGCACGCGCCACTGATCGCTCGCCCGAGGCGACGGCTGGCCGTCACCGCAGACGGGCCGGAACGGACCCGAGGCGAGGTCGGAAAACGGCTGCGAGTTTTCCCAGAACACTGCTGGAAGACAGCGTCGTGACAGTGGATTAGTCTGCGACTCATGGACGCATGAACCAGTTCCGGGGCGCAATCGTTACTGTACAATACACAACGCAATAACCCACACGACAAGGCCCACATGCGGTAGTGGAGCCCGCCCCCAGGTCCAGAACACTGACGAAAGGATTTCTATGGCAATCGACAAGAGGACAGCCCTATCGGAACGGAATGACGGCAATGTCCAATTTTCACTTCCAAAGCTATGGCAATGTTTCCAATAGGGATGCTACAAGCTGTGTACAGGAACTCATCATGTCAGAGATGTTTTTCCGACAACTCGGTAAAGATTCGGCGCAGCTGTACTTGCAATGACAGAGCCGCAGTTTTTTCATAGTTGGAACTTGGGAATAGCCAATCAGCCTTCAGTGCCTACCCAAAAATGCTGGTATGATCACAGAACCTCGCCCGTGACACCGCACACGTACCACATGCCACTGTGGCCTAACTGTACTTGACGGCCCATGCGAGCAGAGTCCAAGTGGAAAGTTTAGGCAACGCAAATTAAGCATTGTCTTGCGAGCAACATAGAATGGACAGACTTCGGACGGCGGCCACCTCCAGAGGAGAGCGCTTCCAGCCGGTCGGCCGCGTCCGCACCCCACCCGGCTCCACCTATCGACCGGAGGCGAGAAACGGCCTCCGCCGGCCCCCGAGGTCATGCTCACCTGGGGCTCCGGGTCGGCGGGGTCAGGCCGGGTCGCCAGCGCGCCGGCGTGAGCTCGTAACGCCTCGCTGCACCCGGCCAGCGGCGCCGGCAGGTCGACAACCGCCGCAGGAGGGACCGGGTCGCCCGTCTGGATCGCACGCTGAGGAGCGCGCGCCGTTACGGACATGACCGTCACGGCAGTCAGCACGGCGGGACGTGGCGGTCACGCACCAGCCGATGCCTGGGCTGGCGCGCGAGCTGCTTACTACGTGGCGCGCCGAGTGGGCGTGACGTCATTTGCACGGAGATATAATATGTCATTTGCATGTGGGCGCGACAGCAATCTCACAAGCACTGCCACGCCACGCTGCATATGCACGTTTTCATTACACGAGGGCGACTCCCCCCGCTCAACAAAAGGCCAGCCCACTCAGTCCCACGGGGCCATAATACAGCGCCCGTAAAAGCAAACAACCCGCCCGGTGGCTAGTTCCCTCCTCCCATCCTCAGCCGCACGAGCGGCGCGCAACACCGCGTCACGCCACACGGCCGGGCGGCGGCGTCGCCGGACGGTACACGCACCTGCAGTCGGGAGATAGCCTCCTGCTGCCGCTGAACGCAGTCGAGCAGGCGCGCCTGCCGCTGGTCGGCCGCCGCCAGCGCCGCCGCCGCCCGCTCCCAGCGCCCCCTTCCGTCGACCTCGGCCGCCAGGAGGCGCTGGCCGCGCGACTTCTCGTAGAGTAGCGCGCGCCGCAGCGTGCCGTTCTCTCGCACCAGCGACTCCAGCAGCTCCACATCTCTCAAGAGCGACTCCTCCAACATCTCCGCGTCTTTCAGTGACGACTCTTCCAACAGCTCCGCGTTCTTCAGTGACGACTCCTCCAACAGCTCCGCGTCTTTTAGTGACGACTCCTCCAACAGATTTGCGTCCCTCAGGGACGGTTCCTCCAGCAGCTCCGCGTCCCTAAGGGACGATTCCTCCGGCAGTTCCGCGTCTTTCGGGACCGCATCTTCTCCTGGGTGCCCGTCCCAAATGGACACTTCGTCGATCAGCTCGGCGTGCTTCAAGGGCGTCTTCAGTCGCTCTGATTCTTGCAGTAGTGGCTCCTGTAGTGTCTTGGAGTCCTTCAGCAGGGCTTCCTCCCGCTGTCGGCCACCCCTCAGGGGCACTTCTTCATCGGCCTCGATCTGAACCGAAACTGTACGCGGCATCTCGCTATCGTTCACGGGCGCGCCATCCAGTAGGCTCATATCGAACCGCGGCACTTCCGGCACCGCTGCCCCAGCCGAGGGCGTCGCCGCCAGGGGTGCTTCGATCGGGCTGGGCGTCGGCCGCAGCTCGCTGACCTCCACGTCGGCGACTGACCGCTCCCAGCGCCCCGGCAGCGCCATCTGCAGCAGGTGCGGCTCCGTCAGCGTCGGTGCCTCCGGCGCCGGCCCTGACTCCCCCCAGGCCGCCGGTTCCCGGTCCAGGCCGGCCGGCAGCCGGGGACCGGCGCCGGTGCCGGGAGGCACGCCCAGCCGCCGCCAGTCGTCCGCCACGCGCGCGAACAGCTGTTGGAAGCCGCGCACCAGCCGTTGGTGCAGCCGCAGCTGGTCATGCAGTGCGTCGCGGATGTCGGCGCTGGCAGCCAGCTGGCCCTGCAGCAGGCGCACCTCGTATGACGAGTCGATGAGCACGATGGCGGCCGAGGCGGCGGCGTTCTGGTTGACGGCAGTCTGCAAGCCGCCGTGCAGCTCGGCCAGCTGCCCGGAGACGCGCTCCTCCAGCGCCAGCAGCTGCTCCTGCTGCCGCTCCGAGGCCAGCAGCGCCGCACGGATCGCGTCGTCCGCCTCCAGCGCTCGGTCCACGGCTCCCGAGCCGACGCCGCTGTGGTCGGAGGGTGGCGAGGTCGGCGCGCCAGGAACAGCGGGCGACCCGAGTGATGGCGAGGCCCGGTCTGTGGCTCGCCTGAGGTCTGGCGAGGCCGGGTCTGTGACTCGCCTGAGGTCTGGCGAGGTCGGGTCTGTGACTCGCCTGAGGTCCGGCGAGGCCGGGTCTGTGACTCGCCTGAGGTCTGGCGAGGCCGGCGCGTCTCCGCGGCCCCCGCGGCTTGACTCTTGAGTCTCCGAATCCCGCCGGCCCGAGCTCCGATTGCCGGAGTCCCGCCGGTCCGAGCTCCGACTGCCGGAGCCCCGGCCGGCGCCGCCGCGGTCTCGCCGCTGCAGCTGGCGCCGCAGCAGCTGCCGGTCGCGCTGCGCGGCCGCCAGGCGGTCGCAGAGCCGACGGACCAGCTCGGCCACGGCGCCCGACGGCTGCAAGCGACAGGCGCCGGCCGGACCTCCCGCCTCCTCTGGCGCGGCCGGCTTGGCGGCCAGCACCAGACTCTCCAGCTGCGAGAGCCGCGGCTCACTCAGCGCCGTCGCTCCCGAGAGCGTGGTCAGTCCAGAGTCGGCCGTACTCCGCTGCGTCGCCGGGCCAGAACCGGCCACGGATGTCAGCTCAGCCCGCTCCGACGTGAGCACAGGTGCCTCCTGCACCGGGGAGGTCATTGAAGGCACCTCTCGCTCTGGCGGTGTCAAGCCGCACACTGGAGAGCTCTGAACCTGCCAGTCCTTCTCTGGTGAGGTACGACCCTGCATCTCCATTCTGGATGAGCTCAGCACCTGTATGTCCTTGCTTGGAGAGCTCAGTCCCTGCACCTCCCCCTTCAGCGGGCCCGCGCCCAGCGCCTCCTTCCTCGGCGAGGTGACGCTCCGCACTAGCAGGCATGCCCTCAGCTTCTCCACCTCGGCGTCAGCCGACGCCAGCTGGGCGCCCGTCTCGCCCACGTACCGTTCGTGCGTCTCTCGAAGCATGGCGCGCTCGCGCTCCAGGTCGGCCACGCGCCGCTCGGCCTCCTCCAGGCGGCGCGACACTGTCTCGGCGCGCGCACGCTGCCTGATGGCCGCGTTGCTGGCGTCCTTGGCGGCGGCGCGGTCGGAGCGCAGCTCCACCCCCGCGGCGGTGAGCTCGGCCAGCCGCTGCTGGCTGGCGGCCAGCTCGGCCTCAGCCGCCGACAGCTGGCCGCGCAGCTCCGCCGTTGCCGCCTCGCTCTCCTGCAGGCGGACGCGCCGCTCGTCGTCAGCGGAGGCGCGGTCGCGCCGCTCCGACTCCAGCGCCCGCTGCAGCCTGTCTCGCTCGCCGCGGGCCGTCTCCAGTGCCTGCTGCAGCCTGTCTTGCTCGCCGCTGGCCGTCTCCAGTGCCTGCTGCAGCTTGTCTCGCTCGCCGCTGGCCGTCTCCAGCGCCTGCTGCAGCCTGTCTCGCTCCCCACTGGCCGTCTCCAGCGCCTGCTGCAGCTTGTCTCGCTCGCCGCTGGCCGTCTCCAGCGCCTGCCGCAGCCTGTCTCGCTCGCCGCTGGTCGTTCCCAGCGCCTGCTGCAGCCTGTCTCGCTCGCCGCTGGCTGTCTCCAGCGCCTGCTGCAGCCTGTCTCGCTCGCCGCTGGCCGTCTCCAGCGCCTGCTGCAGCTGGGCCCCCCTGTGCTGCAGCTCCGCGGCGGCTGTCTTATGACGGACCAGTTCGGCGTTCCACTGCTGCACGACCCCGCTGGTCTCACTGGCCTGCTGACTGGCGGCCACCAGCTGCTGGGAGAGTGAGTCCCGCTGTTCGGCTGTCTCCACCAGCCTTCGGTTGAAGCTATCCCGCTCCTGGACCGCCTCCAGAAGCTGCTGGCTTAGGTTGTCTCGCTCCTGACGTGTCTTCTTCAGCTCCTGATCAAGACTGACCCGCTCCTGTATCATCTCCGTGATCTTCTGCTCCATCTCCTCGCGCTGCTGGCTCGCCTCCTGCTGCTGCCGTTGACTGGCAGTTTCTTTCTGCTGAGTCACGGTCTTGATATCTTCCTTGAGACTATCCCGCTGCTGGGCCATTTCCTTCAGCTGCTGGTCCAGAAAATCACGATTGTGAGTCACCTGCATCAGCTGCTGGCCGACCTGGACCTGCTTTTCTACTGACTCCACGAGCCGCTGGTTGATCTGATCCCTGTGCCGGCTCACTGATTCCAGCTGTTTGACGACATCTTCCCGCTGCTGGTCACTCGCCTTCCACTGCTCAGTGATGTCAAGATGTTGCTGCTTTAAATTCTCGACTTGCTTGGCCATTTCAGTCTGCTGTTCGCCCGCCGCGGCCAGTTGGCGGACCAGCTCATCCCGCTGCTGATTGGTGGCCGCAAGGGCGTGGCACAGCTGACCACGCTGCTGGTTGGCTTCGGTCAGCTGAGAGCCGGCCTCCGTGCGGACCTGGCTGACAACACGCAGCTGCTGACTCAGAGCACATCGCTCCTCAGCAGCTGACTGTAGCTGCTGCGTCAGCGTGTCGCGCTCCTCAGCAGCTGACAGTAGCTGCTGCGTCAGCGTGTCGCGCTCCTCGGCAGCTGACTGTAGCTGCTGCGTCAGCGTGTCGCGCTCCTCAGCAGCTGACTGTAGCTGCTGCGTCAGTGTGTCGCGCTCCTTAGCAGCTGACTGTAGCTGCTCGGTAAATACGTTCCCCTCCTCACCAGCTGACTGCAGCTGCTGACTCAGAGAGTCGCGCTCCTCACCAGCTGACCGCAGCTGCTGAGTCAGGGAGTCGCGCTCTTCGCCGGCTGACCGCAGCTGAAGACGAGTGTCAGCCAGCTGCTGTCGGACCTCCGCCAGCTGCTGCTGCGTCTCTCTGAGCTGCTGCGCGTTCTCATTGAGCAGCTGGTCGTGCCGGGCGCCGCGGTCGGCCGCCTCGGCCAGCTGTGCCTTCAGGCCGCTGACCAGCTCCAGGTGCTGTTCGCGGCAGCGGCGCAGCTCGGCCAGCTCGGCCGGCGGCGCCGCCTGCCGCAGCGCCCGCAGCTCCTCCATGGCAGCCAGGTGGCCGGAGCTAAGGTCCCGCAACTGCTCCTCGTGTCCGGCCCGCACACGCGACAGCTCCGCCTGCTGCTGCTGCCGCACGCTCTCCAGTTGCTGGACATGCGACGACCTGAACATAAAACACAGCAGCACTGGGTTAGATGCGTACGCGATTAGCTTTCCGGGAGGCCCATGTGGCCAAAAAATAATGATGACAGACAGAATCAACCCTGATTACAGTGATGCACGCACGCACGCACGCACGCACGCACGCACGCACGCACGCACGCACGCACGCACGCACGCACGCACGCACGCACGCACGCACGCACGCCGCACGCAAGCACGCACGCACGCACGCACGCACGCACGCACGCACGCACGCACGCACGCACGCACGCACGCACGCACGCACGCACGCACGCACGCACGCACGCACGCACGCACGCACGCACGCACGCACGCACGCACGCACGCACGCACGCACGCACGCACGCACGCACGCACGCACGCACGCACGCACGCCCGCACGCACGCACGCACGCACGCACGCACGCACGCACGCACGCACACACACACACACACACACACACACACACACACACACACACACACACACACATATATATATATATATATATATATATATATATATATATATATATACAAAAAAGCGGGGAGGCGTAATGGCCGAGTGGTTAGATCCTCCATCTCTCGTCTAGTAGCACCACCGGAGCACTACCGGAGCACCACCGTTACCGCTGATGCTCCAAGAGTGTACGTAACGTCGGCCACGTTCCCCTTAAACAATTTGTAAACAACTTTCATTTAATCTAACTAATCTGCTTGTATACGTGCCCGCGGCCCTAATTTGCACATGCCGGGAACCACTCTTGATGCCCACATGAACATGACTTACGCACATATGACAACAAAGTGCCTTGCATTTGGTTACTCGCCAACCCTGCGAGCAAAAAGTGTCACCGGTCACCGTCAGGCGGCCCGGTAACGGGGCTACTGTATGACATCACTGCTAGTCCAGTGCCAGCTGCTATACTGCTGCCAGTGAATGAGCCGGCGGCCGGTGGTTCGGCCCTGACCGGAGCTCGCTGGTGATCTCGCTGAGCTGTCGGCCGAACCGCTCCTCCAGCCGCTCCGTGACGGCCTGCTCCACCGCCTCCGCCGCCGCTGTCCGGCCGGCCAGCAACTCCTCCAGGTCAGCGATCTGACGGTCACAGGCACGCCGACACACCGTCACAGGCATGCCGACACACAGGCACAAGCACGCCGACACACAGGCACAGGTACGCCGACACACAGGCACAGGCACGCCGACACACAAGCACAGGCAAATCGACACACAGGCACAAGCCCGCCGACACACGGGCACAGGCACGCCGACACACAGACACAGGCAAATCGACACACAGGCACAAGCCCGCCGACACACGGGCACAGGCACGCCGACGCACAGGCACAGGAATGCTGACCCACAGGCACAGGCACACAGGCACGCCGGCACACGGGCACACCGTCACAGGCACGCCGACACACCGTCACAACTACTGGGGTCACGGCGATACAGCGACTACGGGCACCGTCACAACCGCCACAGGCATACCGACGCACCGTCACAACCGCCACAGGCATACCGACGTACCGTCACAACAGTCACAGGCATACCGACGCACCGTCACAACCGCCACAGGCATACCGACGCACCGTCACAACCGCACAGGCATACCGACGTACCGTCACAACAGTCACAGGCATACCGACGCACCGTCACAACCGCCACAGGCATACCGAAGCACCGTCACAACAGTCACAGGCATACCGACGCACCGTCATGACCGTCACAGGCATACCGACTCGCCGTCACGACCGTCACAAGCACACCGTCACCTGGTGTCTGCCAGTCGGGAAGAAGGTTGAGACATCACGCCAGTCCCCCGTATACGGCGTGTAAATGTTACGAATATTTCCCTGACAAGAAATTGCGCGCCCACTACAGGCACTGGCGATCTCTGGTCAACCGTCAGGAGTCAACCGCAAGCGCTACATGCCTCCCACACCATAGCCACCGGCTGGAGGCGTGGACCGAAGCGGCTGTGCGAACAAAACATCACAGCGCGAACGCGCTCTCCGCGAATCAGAGAGCACACATCACTGCGAACCGCCGCCGCGACTTCAGGAGCGCGCGCAGCCGGCTTGCGTTGGGCCGCCGCGCGGGTGCGGAGCTCACCTGGCGCCGGAGCTCGGCCTCAGTGCGGGCGGCGGCGCCGGTGACGGCCTCCAGCTGGCCGGCGGCCGCCTCCAGCTGGGCGGTCAGCTCACCGACCCGACCCTGGGTCACGCTCAGGCTCTCGTCCAGCGTGCTGCGCTCCGACAGACGGCTGGAGAACTGCCAAGCACACAACAGGGCAGAGCGACCGCTCAGGGAAAACTGACGCGCACTGATACCGGCTGAGCGGGTATGCAGAGCCACCGCAGGCGGTTGACGTGGCGCCATGCCCTTTCACGTACGACTGCAGGGCAACACTGCACCCAGGACGCTGAAGTCTCACCGAAAAAGAGAACCGACAGTCAGAATGGCCTGAGCAGCCAGCGCAGTGAGCGCGTGAGCTGACAACACAGGGATCAAAGGCAGTGAAGTCGGAGCACAGCAAACTGTGAGCCGCTGGCGGTCGGTCAGCACACGATAATACCTGAACGGCATCACCAGCCAATTATGGACAGACCCTTCTGCGGCGGCCCGGCTAAAGGCACGGGAGCGGTGCCGGGTGTCCGCGGCACCAGCAGTCCCACCTCCTCCACGCGGCTGCTCAGGTGCGCCTTCTCCTTTGAGAAACTCTCCTCGAGGGCGGCCTTCTCCAGTTGTGAGCGCTCCACCTGCTGACGGAGCGACTCCAGCCGCTCCTCGGACTGCAAGCGCTCCTGCTCCAGCTGACGGCGAGCGCGTTCCAGCTCCTGCGGAGGGCGTTCACGTCGGGCCACGCTCACCGACGGCTCCGACTAACACAAGCCTCGGTCAGGCACAGACGAGACAGGCTCGTGAATCATTGGCACTGCGAGCAATCGCTTTAAAGCAGTGCAAAAAGCAAGATAAGACTGACCGCTTGGTGTTTTACCCTTGCCCCGATAGGGGTGGGGGGGGGGGGGGAGAGTCAATGCACACACACCCCCTCTACGTAGGTTTTTTGGGGGGATACCCCTACGCGATGTCGTGCGATCGCGCCCAAATTTTGAGTGGCCTATGGGGCATCTATTGCGCATGTTTCGACACTAAAAACATGTCCTTAGTACTCCTGACTTCGGAGCACCGACGGTTTTTGAGGAGCCCTGCACGGTGACCTCCGGCCGGCGCGGACGGCGAGCGGCAACTGACGATGGCCCCTAACGCGCGCAACGGACCGACATGGTTACATTAACGGAGCCATACATCGTAAATATATGGTTTAGCAGATAAAACTATACAACATTGCACTCATGATGGAACACGGAGCACGCGTGTTTAAGTTTGCTTTCGCTACGAGCCATCGTCTCGCAAGCACGGGTTGTAAGGCTGCATGAGGGCGATTTTCGGGAAGTTTGACCTTTGACCTGGCCAAATTGGCCCACAAAAATCGAGTCGTTTTAGGCGATTGCTATTTACCGCTGACAGGTATTGCCTGTGGCGGGTTGCAATGGCCGCACTGGAGGCCAGGTGACGTCAGAGGGCAGAGCGGACCGTGTGGAGCATTGCGGCACATTAAACTTTCGCCCCCAAATTCTGCCGCTGAACTGGAACTGCGCGATCGGTTGGTAGGGGCCAAAACTCACATAACAAGCACAGCTTGGCGTGAGCTCTGATCCCAGAAATCCATCCATTCGATATGGTCTGGAATCTTTTTTAATGGGGTCAATTTTTGACCCAGCAAAATAAGATTGATTACCAATCGCGGGATAACTGGTAAGCTCCATCTTCTGTTAGTTCGGAAAGGGCAGTCGGGTCGCGTCCAACCCGCTGTCAGTCTGCGTCATGAAAAACGGCGAATCGGGGCGAGGACTATGCGGTGGTAATTCATGGGAGGATAAATCAAACCAGTCACGTAACAAGTTCAACCGATCACGAACACGTTAAGTAGCAGAGTAATTACCTCATTTTCATGTTTCTGTGAAGACCTTAGTTGTGCTGATGAGGCCTCCGCATTCGCCAAGGCTTGAGTCTTGGCTTCTAGCTCATTCCTAAGACTTGAAATCTCACTGGACTGACTGCTATTGTCAGCATCCAATGCAATTAACTGTAAACAGATCCATGCTATTCAAAGAAAGCATACATATCCTTCACACTTAACTACAGGTGTCATAGCATTATGGCGACCGCAAAATACACCACAAATTACCAGTTAGATCGAAGCTGTGCAACAGTTGCATGCACTTACACAGGGTGGCACATCAAGCCTTCAAAGATTATCTACCAAACTCAAGGCACTATCACAGTATGTACCAGAAACTGGTATGCTCATTTTGTTATTATCAGAGAGGTACCATGTATGCAGAGCTATAGGAAAACTTAATATTAATCATGCAGAGGACAAAAGTCTCAGAGGAATCTCAAGTTTCCTCGCAGGAATGCTTCATCATGCAGCATATAACATCCTAACTGCTATTGTTCCCACCTGATTTTTTATCTTGATGAACTCTGCAGCATTTATGCCTGAAAATTCCTTGTTTCTCAGAAAGGCGGATGTCTGCTGTAACTGTTCCTTGAGAACTGTGATCTCATGTGCTAACTTGTGCGCCTCGTGTTGGGCCGCCGTGCGCAGCTCATCCCTCTGCTGTATGGTCGACTGCAGGCTGGCTGAGAGCTTGGAGATGTACTCATCTCTCTTCCGGATCGCCTCCTGATACTCATGCAGCCTTTGGCTAACCTCACCCATCACAAGGGATTACAGATGCTTCATTTGGATGGCATCTACTTGTAGCTGAAGAAAGAATATACAGGCAGTTAATGTCTTATCTGGCACGCGTACAGCAAATTACTGGCGAGCACTGTCGGGTAACGCAGCAACACAAGTAAATAAAGCATACTATTGTGTTAAACATATGCAGAAGCAACAAGCCAGAAATTAATGAGAGATGTAAGAATTTCCACTTCATGAATGGTTTTAAACAAAAGCCACAGGGTTATTTCGGGTTTTATAACACATGGAGAAATGATAGTTCATTTGGCCTATGGCCCACATCCCGTGGATCCTGGAGGGTCTAGGTTCCAGAGATTCCACATGTGTGGTGTCTCAGAAATCAGAATCGTTCATCCTCATTCTGTTATCCTCCACTCTGTGGCGAAGAAAGGGACCGCTGCGAAGAAACTCTACAGCTGAAAATATGGGTCCTGAGGGTCCTCAACAGAGAGACTGAAGGGTTGACATTTCGACTCGACGCCGTGGAAAGTCCTTCCAACCGCTGACGGAATCTCTGAGGCCAACGCCCCCCGCAAAAGTCGCCTGACTGCGGAGCTGGTGGCCGGGGACTGCGTGATTTCCCAGAGCCTTGTCCGAGCACGTCTGGCCGAGCCGGTCGTTCCACGGTGCGTGCGCGTCCAAATTTCGGGGTCCGGTTTGAAACGTTCCGTATTTTGTTTCATTCATGGACGTTTTCATAAGCCCGAGCTCGGATGCTACGGCGTTCAGATTTTCCTGGCGCAGTCCGGGAGATCTTTGCGTTCAATGCCCACATCTTCGTCGAGCTTTGAAAGTCTCTGGTCTTTTTTGGCACGTTTTTCTGAACAGTTTAGGTGGGTGGCTTTGGGTTAAGGATGTCTTCCGAGCAAGGCTTGTTATGTGACCATGAAGCCACCACCAAAATTACGCCGCCAATTCGCCGAATGTTTTACTCACCCCCACGCCAGACATGCCCGAGAAGAGTTTTACGTGCCGCGCCATGCTACGGTACGGCCGGCCCTGGCCTCGGTTGACCATCGCCCTGTCAGTTACCAGCTGACCCGCCCATGACACAAAATGCGCTTGATGATCTGAATACCCACCAAATGCCACTGGATGGCTAGTATGGCATCTTAACCCAAGACACCTGAGGTCGCAGTAACACTGGTCAAAAGAGCAAAAAGAACTGGGCCAAGCACTGACCCCTTCAGGACCGCACCACTGACTGGCGACCAAAGCAGGCAATAGCCTCCAACTAGTCCCGAACTAACACCAGAGCTTGCAGAGAAAAAGAGGTGGGCAGCCAAAGCAACATCACTCCAAACTTCAGATAAGCATCATCCAAGGGTCATAATGTAATGGTCACTTCAGCTATCAACTACTCAACCATACTTTGAGCATTGCACCAGAGCTTCGGTCTAAAGCCATGCTGATCCTCAAAAGGTTGGCACAAAAATTTCAAGTGCTCTGAGTCAATAAACACAAGAGCAATCCAAGACACTTGCAGCAGATGGCTGCAACCTCATAGGTTGGCAACTGGGTTTTTCTCCTCACTTGTATTAAAAATCAGAACACTGATAAGGGGCACAAAAATAACGGCATGATGCATTCAATACGCAGCAGGCCAATGTATACTCCGGTGCTATTCCACTTGATGATTGTTGCACCAGGTGGCTGGTATATTTTGTTCATTGTCATAGTTCCAATGTCTTGCTTCTTACTCTTTGACAGTCAAGTATTTTTACACTATAATCCGTGAAACCAGACCCAAATTCATTAATGCACTTATCCCAGTTTCTGTCTTGGGACAAGCTTCCACACCCCCACAGGTTTTTGATGCTGCAAGTTAGTTTGCAAAAAGACATAGTTTGCAAGGTGACCCAACAGCTTTTGGCATGATAATCAGATGAGTGGCATCTGGCCTGGAAGGATCAGAGGGTATCATATTGATCAGTTTCTTGCCAGCCATTTTCTTGCCAAACCAATGTCTTCAAGAGCAGAACCCTCACACTGAGTAACCAATGCTGAGATGGTCATGAAGCTTTCAGCATTAAAACATCATGGCATAACTTGCCTGTGCTGGTGACCTTTCTACACATCTTCGCCAGCCAAATGTAATCTTTGGTCAGAAGTTTTTGCTCTCATTGTCACTAATCTGAAAATGGGTTGAGAAGCACTGTCTGGAGCATTTTGTTACCAATATCAATGCTAATGAGGATAAAAGCTTCAACAATTGTTATTTTTCTGCCAATCAAAAGCTGATTCAAATTCATTCACATAAACATAGAAAGGTTCAGAACAAGCTGTACTGAAACTGAACTATAACAGATAGCATAGGTCTGATAAAGCTAGTCAGCATGAGCATTATAATCAGAATGCAGTAAACAGCCCAATGGTTAGTCTTACATGACCAAAGCCAGCACAAATACACACCTTGTGACTTGCTTACTTTTGCATTAGCAAATGAATGGAAGGTATCAGATTATAAATATTTATCTCCAAAGATAAATTGTCTAATCCTGCTGACTGGCAATATTTGTTAGTATTGTATGCTGTTAAGTACCACTCATTTTCACCATGGAGCCCCCATGTGGCATTACATCTAATTAAGAAAGATGGCTTGGTTGTGAAAATTGCTTGAGGGTGGATTGATGTCCTGTGGCATTGAGGCAGATTGGCTAGTACTGTCTGCAGCTGAATTACATTCCTGTGACCAATATTTTAGGTTCAGGTTTCTTATCAGTATTAAGTATAGCTGAGTAACAATGATTTAACTTGAACATAGTCTTAGGCCTTCATAGATGCGGGAACACATATATGTCATTAGAATTAGTTTCAACACTGGTGTTTTTTATCTTTTGTAACTTGATAGCATAGGCATAACACTGTAAAACCAAAATCAAATGTTTACTCATCACTCTTTGGCCACTAGTAAAAGTCTAAACATACAAAAATCAAGCCCTGAGCTATGCCTCTCCAATTTCGATTTTCAAATGAAGGATACATGGGGTAATGCCTAGCCTAGATAATGTCAGTGGCATGGCTATTTACAAAATATGCTACCAGTGGCTTTTCTGTTCCCATACCTTACATTTGCCAGTTTATGAAGATGGGTGCAAAAGTCCCTGATTTAACAAAAATTGCCATTGAACTTCACAAAAACATAGAACACACAAGTACCACACAGACCAAATGGATCTTAGACAAAAACAAAACAAAACAGCACAATAAAAAAATTGTAGCAGGGGCGGTGACAACTATGCCAGCTCGATTTTGATCGGTATTGCACACAAGCACACACTATCCCGCGGCGTTGATCTAAGCATACTGCATTGCTTTCTGGAAAATTAACTGCTGTGGATGACTTATCTCCAGTCACAGAACTTTGAGACAAAACATACATAATACGGAAACCGTTGAGACAGCTACGCGCGCCCCATCGCCAAGCGTAAGTCTACGCGGCTGTCAAGAGTCAACATGAGCAGTAGATGTCTATGTAGCGTCAGATCTGTATGTACATTCCAAGGCCATAGAACAGAGTACATTTCAGTTCTGTTAGGTTGTTGTCGTTGTCGCTGACGGTGATATAAAGTGCAGATCAATATGAGGAAACTTATAACCGGCCATCTTTTCTGACCTTCAATCGGTGTAGAACCCGTAAGCTGTGAGGGTCGAGCAATTTGAGTATAGCCCGTATTTTGGTTTCAACGCTTGAAAAAGTGGCAACATGGCAGGGTCCAGCGCGCGATGCTGATGACGTCAAGAGGGTGTTGTGATCGTTTTGGGGCGGTGGGTGAAATGGAGGGCCAGTGCGGAGCATTGAAATGTGGCTCTTGTGAGTATTTATGGCATTTGGGGGGCGGGTATTCATAAATCTTAACACCAGGTACGGTGAAGGCGATTTCTTCCAATGCAGTAAGCGGATGTAGGGCTACCTAAACGGTTTTGAGTGCCTGCTTTTGCAGCCTCTCTGAAATTTTGGCCATGGGTTTCACAAGTTTTCAAAAAGTTCATATTTGTTATATATAATTCAATAGAACATCACAGAATCTTCAGTCCCTACTTGTGGTCTCCTGCGGGTGGGTAAGGCCTCCAGCATGCTTTATTGCTCCTATTCATTTGCTGGGGCCTCTTTTTGATGATCTGGGGCTTCCTGGTAACTAATAATGCCTGTGGCTGTGTATGGTCCCCTATGGGCAGATATCATAAGGGTGCTCTTTCAGATGTAATGATATGTTCTGTCTTGGTCATCTCAACTGCTGTTGGCATGAAGCCTCTTGAAATTTTAAAGGGAGCAAAAAAATATGTTTTACTCACTGCCCATTACCAAGTGGATGGGGAGGGGCAGCAGCTTCCCTGTTGCTTCCCTTCTTCCCTGGGTGGTGCAGTCTCTTGCTGACAGCTTTTTATTGTAAGGGTTCTGATACTTTCAAATTGGTGATACAAGTGGACACTTCATGCAGCTTGCGTGCACTGCAGATCCCTGTCAGTCTACTCATTTGGATCTGACTTGTCATGAAGGATGGCACCAGGTTGTACAAGAGTTTATGGACAGAGCATATATTGCTATGCCTTTTGGTTTGCCTCCTAGTTCCACACTATTTAACATGTCCTCTGCACAAAGCAATATTGCTGTCTCAAGGTAACATTGGTTTTAGTACACTCCTTCTTTGTGTTGCATTTTTGATCAAAATAACAGTTTGCCAAACCTGGAGATGTGTTTCCCATGCAACTTGCCATGATCAATGTATGACAATGGAGTGCTTGTATATTCATGTAGTTATGTTGCATGTTCTTTCCATGATGCACACCTCATTTCTCGCTGTTTCACAGGTCAGGACTTGCATATTCGGCAACATCTCAGGCAGCAGCACCTACATCACTCAATGCTGATGCCTCTGTATCATGAACAACAGTTTTGGCCGTGCCTTCTACATCTGTGCAGCTTGGCATCACTGTCATAGCAGTCAGACATGGGTGTGAAGGGTCTTTGGAAGATCCTGGAGCCAGTGGGCGAGACCTGCCCCCTGTCAGAGCTGGCTGGCCGCTTGGTGGCCGTGGACCTCAGTGGTTGGGTGGTGGAGGCTGAAACCTCAGTGGCCCTCTCCAAAAATGTCAACCAGCCCTACCTGCGTAACCTGGTGTACCGCACATCGGCACTGCTTTTGCAGCACACACTGCCTGTCTTTGTGCTGGATGGCGAGGCACCGGCGCTCAAGCTAGACGAGCTGGAGCGGCGCCAGGGCGGCCAGCGGGCCGGCACTGGACGGCCGCAGCTGCACGCCCGGCTGCGACGCTGCGCGCGCCTGCTCGACACGCTGGGGGTACCGCACCTGACGGCCGAGGGCGAGGCGGAGGCGCTGTGCGCGCGCCTCGACGCCGCCCAGCGCGTCGACGGCGTGGTGACGGACGACGGCGACGCGGCTCTGCATGGCGCGCGCACCCTCTACTGCCAGTTGAGTGCGAGCCGCACAGGCGGCGAGCTGACGCGCTACAACCTGGAGCGGGTGCGGGCTGAACTGGGCTTGGACGTGCGCCGGCTGCGCCATCTGGCGCTGCTGCTCGGCTGCGACTACCTGCCCGGCGGGCTGCCGGGCGTCGGCGCGCAGACGGCGCAGCAGCTGGTACACCGGCTGGCCGACCGGCCGTTACTCGGTGCGCTGGCCGGCTGGCTGCGCGAGCCGCCGCTCAGCCAGATGCGCGCCGCTGGCGAGCTCGGCCGCCAGGCGAGCCACTGCGTCGCCTGCCGCCACCCGGGCACGGAACGGCAGCACCGGCGCGCTGCCTGCGCCCTCTGCGGCATCGACGCCGGCTGCCTGCCGCGGCCGGAGGCGTCCACCTGCCCCTGCGACTGGCACTGCCAGCGGCGGCTGGCCGACGAGCACGCGCCTGAACTACGCGCCCGCGACTGTGCGCGACGCGCGCCTGACTTCGAGCGGCGCGCAGCGGCAGCGCTGGCCGAGCTGGAGCGGTCGGCCCGGCTGCCGGTCGACCCGCTTGTCTGGAGCCGGCCCGACCCGGACGCCTTCGCCGCCGAGGCCGGCGCCGGGCTCGGCTGGCCGCCGGCGCGCTGCTGGGAGCTGGTGGCGCCGCTGCTGGCGCGCTGGCAGCTGCGGCACCCGGCCGAGGAGGCGCTACTGCGGCCGCTCGCCGTGCTCAGGACGTCCCGGCACCAGCACGTCGACTGTTACCTGGTGAGCTGGTGCCGCGCGCCTGGCGAGGAGGTCACCACGCACGAGCCGCGCCCGCTGATGGAGGCCGCCCACCCGGAGCTGGTGCAGGTGTTCCTCCGCAGCAAGGCGCCCAAGAAGGCGACCGCGCGCCGACCTCGCAAGGTGAAGACTAGAAATGGCAGCGACGCCACTCCAAGCCAACTCATCACTGACTTCTTCCCCACGCGGAAGGGGCCCGGTCGACGAGCGACCTCCAAGCTCGTCAGCCCAGCAGAACGGGGTCAGTCGTCAGCGGCGTGCTGCGAGTCGACGACGCCGCTGCGGTCCGACCAACGGCCAGGTGAGCCCTCCGAGCTCACCGCTGCCGCCGCCGCTGCCCCTGTCCGTGTCCCTGTCTCTGTATCTGTCTCTGGCCCTGTCCCTGCCCCTGTCCCTGCCCCTGCCCTTGCTCCTGCCCCCGCCCTCGTCCCTGACCCTGCCTCTACCCCCGCCCCTGCCCCTGTCCTGCACAGGACCTCCCCGACTGCCTGGCTGAGCTTGGCTTTAATGGGCTGCGTTTGAGTTGTCAACTTAACGTTCTAGTAATATGATAACAAGAGACACACGCGGTTGATGAGTCCGGGCACACGTACTTTGTGCGCCAAGTTTATGGGGCTTGGGAAAGTATCCGCTAGCTTGCGAATGGCGTGCGCTTTCATTAGTTTTAGTATTAATTTCGTCTTCGTATTTTGCATTTTGTAACCAGGTGTTTTGATCCAGGTTATAAATAGGCCTAAACCTGCATTAGTTTTAGCATCTAGTATAGCATCATCATCCCTCCTTGTCATGTTGTATATCTTAACCACGTGTGTTGGACTTGTATACCACTTAAGTCTCGATCTTTTACTTGTTCTGTTGGTCTGATTGCTTGCACTGACCCAGCGCTTTGCTGCTTTCTTTCATCTGGGAAGATTTTATATGCATGGTTTAACATCGACCAAGCAGTCTTTATAGTGTTGCATGCCAGCTGAACCCTGGTGCATAACCGGTTGTTACTGTCGTTTGGCTTTGCTGTTATTATTTTGCTTGCACCAACACAGTGCGTGCAAAGTATGCACCACGCACGCGCGCGGCACGCTAGGGAGGTCTCTCGTGCAGCATCCATTGTGGCCATTTCAGGCCTGGTCCTTCCTGGTGCCGTCCCCGGTCTCGTCTGCGCCGAGACCGACTCCGATGTACCCAGCTCGGTGGGCGACGCCAGCGGCCCGGCCCGGACAGTCGACTCGCGCGCCGTCATCGACTCGCCTCGTTCTGCGCCCAGAGAGGATGGCTTCGCCTTGCACGTCGCGGACAGCTCGGCTCGCTCGCTCAGCGAGGCGGTCTCGCCGCCGGCCGGCGCGGGGAGCGAGGTCAGCGAAGCCAACTCGGAGGCGGAGAAGGACGAGGCCAGCGAGGCCAACTCGGAGGCGGAGGAGGACGAGGCCAGCGAGGCCAACTCGGAGGTGGAGGATGATGTCAGCGAGGCTGATTCTGCAGAGGAGGAGGAGGATGTGCCGGACCTGTCGGCTATTATCGACGCCATCACGCGGACGCACATCTCTGACGCGGCGCTGCTGGTGGTCAGCGACGACGAGGCGGACGCCGCGGCGCCGGCGCTGCATGGCGGCGGAAAGGAGGCGCGCCGCTCCGGCGGTGACGGCGGCGGCCGGGGCAGGTCCCCGCAGCGAGCAGGCCTGATCCCGGGGGCCGAGTCTGTGTGCGCCCACGGGGCGGTGTCGTCCGACTCGGATTGCGAGCGCGGTCGGGGGTGCGTGCCCACACCTTCCGGACGGGACCTGACCGCAGCGGAGACGGCGGTCGACTCGGACAGCGAGACGGAGCAGGAGTATGTGCCGCTCCGCCACCGGCTCACCCTGAAGGCCTAGCCGCGCTCCCCAGCTCGACGCTGGGCTGTGTCCGGACACTGTCGGCCGAACAGGGGTGCGTTTTCTGCTCGCGGAGAGGGGTGCGTTTTAGGCTTGCGTCTCGAGTTACACACGTCCTGCTGGAAACATCGATTCTGTGCTCAGACTCTTGTACCGAGCCGTGCATTTTACGAGTTCACTCCTGCACGGGTGGTCGAATTATGCGTCACTGTGCCTGATTGATTGGCGGATTATACGGATGGGTCGTCGGAGTCGTGGTTTATGCTTGGCAGATATGTGTCCCGCTGTCAGCTCTTCGAATCGTGATTGGTTTGGGAAGGCCTGACTCTCCGCCAGATGCGTATGGTTTTCCGGCGACTCCTACAGGACCCGTGTGGAATTGTTTGCTTTGCTGTGGCGTGTTGCGGCTGGCCGGAGCCAGTGATGTTCGGCGGCAGCAGAGTGCGATTAGGACTTGACGGCGCAGCCAGCTGCCGGGGCTGTGTGGCGGCACCTGCCGCTCGCTCCGGCGGGGAGGGACGATATCGCGGGAAGCCCCCCACGTCGGGGAATTCTCGAATCCCCCGAAGCCGCACCTCTGGTTTCCCGGACGCGCAGCTTGGCCACAGACCTATGGTACCCTGCGCGGTGTTATGGTCGTCCTTGCCGTGGTATCGCGTATACGGAACACCGGCTCAGCACTGCATGATCTGTTCACAGGACGTCATGCTGGCTGTGTCCGGCCCATAGCCAGGAATATGGTTCAGATATGGGGCTTTCTGAAAGAGAACTTGGATACGCTACGCGTTGCAACGTTGGCAGAATGTTCAACGCACCGATTACAGATCCAATCGCATGTGCCAAAGGAATTGTGTCGTCGGATGCTGCGCTGAAGACACGGATGAAGACTGCGTCATGTTGCCGTGTAGGCGGTTACTTGCCAACTGAAGCTTATGTCAGGGTCGGAGACATTGTGAATAGGAAAAGTAGTCGTGACGCGAGATATATGCAGCTTGTTTGATGCATGTCAACGGCCGCTGCGAACAGGACTTTAAACGAACACGTAAACACACATGGTGTAACGTAGCGTGGCGCGTCGGACTCTGCCCAGAGGACACCGGCAGCGCAGAAGGCAGCGTTAGCTGTCGTGTGTGTGGAGTCGCTCAGCGGAGCGGCGGCCCCGCCTGGTCAGCCGCCGAGCCGGGGCGTCTGACCGTGTGACGCGGCCGGCGCGCTTTCTGGCCGGGATTTCTGGCCGCGTGCGCCGCGCGCCCGGCACCGAACCTTGTCCTGGCGGGTGGCGCGCCGGGGCTGGGTCTGGTCCGGCTGCGGCGGGTTGCGCCGCTTGTTTGGGGCGAGGGAGCAAAGCTTAGTGGGGTACACTGGCTGGGATCGGTTCACGCCCCAACGGGGCAGAGTTGGCCCCGGGCGGCCTCCGATGCGAGGACGGCCCGCCAGGGGCAGCGTCCGTGTGGGGTAGGAGCGGTTCAGGACACACTTCTTTTCGTGTCGCGCGAACACAGAGCGCGAAGATAGGTCACTGCTGCGAGGGCTACGATCTTGGAGCTTGGATTCGTCACGAATCTGCATGACCGTGGGCCGGTTAGCGGTTCGAGTTCGCAACAGAGTGCGACGATCAACGTCATGACTGGAGGTCCCATGTGGGTTGGGTCAGGAACCCCCAAATTTGACCACGTTTTGAACCAGGTCTATTGCGTACGCTGCGTTTGGGGCCAGTGGTGTAGCTTCCTATTCAGTTGGGGGCTTCAGCCCTCTCTCCGCCCCCACTTGGGCTTCATGCCCCTAACTTTGGGAAGAATGTTTTGCCAATTCTGGGAGAAACCTGTGTATTGGCGTATTTTTGGGGGGTAGGTTGGGTCATTTTTCACTGTTCGTCCCCGACACATTTTGTGGAACTACGTTCTTGTTTGCGGCCTAAAAAAGGTCCTGGAATCCCCTTCCCCTCTCCCCTGTCCGGAAGAGCAATGTCAGGCGCTGACAAACACTGCAGCACCACAATAATGCTGAAGTCATCCAAATAGATATTTGCTTGTTTGGTATATTTGGTATATTTGGTATATTGCATCGATTTTTTAGTATATAACATGCTACGAAACGCTTGAAAAAAATGGACCCGAGGAACATATCGCGACGATTATTAATATGCAGGCGTCGGAAAACAAGGAGTTGCGTTAGGCCCTGTCAGCATGCACTTGAACCCCACCAGGGGATTTTCGTTGACTGGCTCGCAAGTGGTAACGTGCCATTGTCGAAGCTCAGCTGGCAAGTTTGGCCGTATCATCCAGCAGCACGGCAAACAGGGTCCCGGAAGCGCGCTACGTCTCGGCCAACCAGTTCACGAAGGTCTGCTGGAAAAAGTGACGTCTTCCGTGACGGGGTACCGTATCCATAACACGGGCTATGACAGACCACATCAGGGCCGCGGCGGTGCCAGAGACCACCTGGCATGCGGCACAAGCAACCGTCAGTTAGTTACGAGGAACTTTGCCGTTCGTTTACACTTCTCACACGGTTGCATTGGTTTTTTGTAAAAATAAATTTGCTCGTCCAACAGTTTAGGAGATCTCACACCATGACCAAAATGTCGCTGTCATACGTGGTGACATGGCATGCATCCATATCAGAGCTGCCTTGAGTGCCGCTCACGAACCTGACGCGTAGCGTCGGAGCTTGCTACACATGAGGGTCCCCCAGCAGCGACTGGAAATCGTCCAACCTTGAGGTCCTTAACCACGAAGTCGACAAATCTCGCATTTGGACCATCAGGCTGCATCCGTGACCGCTCTCGCGTATATAGCCGGTTTGAATGGGACGTGCTGTCTCACCTCGGCAGACGTTTTACACGGAGCATTGATCGCCCCGGAACCAACAGTTGCGCCATCTCGAGGGCTGCGGCAGACTTCGGTGCGCTTTGAGAGCAGGAGATGGCCACTGGCCTGGCTCAAAACGGGCTCAGATACACGCTAGCTTGGTCAGACGCTTTAAACGTGATGATCACTGGCCGCTGGCTGAGCTAAATGCTATCTCTGTGGGCGCTGGCAGGACAGCAGTCACCGTGTTTTAGAGAATGACTAGGCCCAGATCTTTCGCGCCCTTTTTTCGCTGGTAGTTCGACGCAAGCATTTTTACCGTAGCACAGTTGTAACGTAAGGTTTCCTACACTTGGCAAGCCATTTTCCGCATTCAGCATGTTTTTGGTCATGCGATCAGTGACATACACCAGCTAATATTATTTGTATCAGTGCTCTGATGGCTGATGGCATGTAATCAAATCAGTGATTTCGACTTATTAACGAAATTTTTAAGACACCGCAAATTATCGAACTCGCCCACACTAAATGCGCTCTTGGGCGGTTTAATATTCACGAATACATGAAAAGGACAAAGGCGATATCTGCCCTTAATTAGTATGTAATTGTACACTACACTTTTCCTTAGACATGCGTTATTCGTGTATCATAAATGTTACGTTCGCAAAACCAACGGAACCCCGCACACCGAGTGCGCAGGAGCTTGGCTTCACGAAAAACGCAGCTCAGGAAGGAAAGGCCTTGAAAACTGATTCTTTGAAATTCAGTGCGCTGAAAGGAAGGATATCAAAGTGTTCAGTTTTGATGAAGAGGACATCTACAGGCCAGCAACGCATTTCTTAAACCTCACTCCCTCCGGCACGTGCAGCTTTTACACCAAACGTGTGCACTTGCCAATGAATGCAGCGCGCTTTACGCTACGGTCCCGCCTTGATCCTCGCCAGTCATAGCATGCATGGATCACCCCGAATAAGAAATACTGTCTGAAACCGCTCCGTACATTGATCCTCAGAGATACTGACTACGATATCACTCCGCATATTGATTCCCAGATCGCCGTATTTCTCCTGCTCGCTATAGGCCGGGTGCAGCTCTGACCTCATGACGCTGAGGTGATCCCGTGTGGACAAGAATTTGGACAGCCGCTGGGAACTCGTCGAGAAGGAAGACATTGAAAATTACGTTCATAGATTTATTACATATACTAAGTTCACGATACATTTCGTCGACAGTGTAACCTCAGCGCCACCGCCGTACCCCGCGGAACTCGACGTGGTAGCTGTTGACACTCCGCGGGTTATTTGTAATTGGGATTCGGACTAAGCTTTGATGTGCATTAAGTTTCGACGGTGTTTGAAGGACACTTTTTACTAGTCAAGTACAAAGACCTCTCCAGATCAACCAGCTGTAAATATTGTTTGATAGAAGGAAAATACTTAGGAATTGCTGTACTTATGTGATTGTGCTGGTTTGGATGAGTCAGATCTGTTGCGGTTGGTCTCATCCGGGTGCTGTTGAGCGTTGTTCAAAGGAAATTTGTGTGGGTAGAACTCTGTAAGATTTGGTGTCGGTCATTTAAATCTTACAAAGGCCATCAGCATATGTCATGAATATAGTATGTACCATTACTTGGATATTTTTTCCAGCGATGGCTGGGCAAAACATCAGACAAGGTCATGGTCATGGTTAAGCTATTTGTGTTAGGCTGAGTTTGGAATACGTTCACCCTCCGGCAGGGGCGGATCCAGAGGGGGAGCGGCACGGAGTCATGGCCCCCTTGGGCCCGGAAGGAGTCCAAAGCCGGCCGAAGGGACCCAAAGCGGGGTGAACAGATGCATTTTTTAATATATTTGCTCAAACAACAAAACAAAACAACACAAAGTTGGACGTTTTTGGGCATCCAGGCGTCCGAGATCAGTCGCAAGCGAAAGTGAAGGGCCCACAAGTAGACAAAAATTATTTTTCACTGATTGATAGGGTCGTGATTGGGGTATCATCAGGTTTATTACGCTGTCTAGAGACCATTTCCTGGGACCTATATGCCCACTTGTAAGGTCGATCGGGGCTCTGAGCCTTCCACGCTGCGTTTACTTTGTTTGTTTGTTTACTTTGTTTGTTTGCTTGTTCTTACAAATGAATAAGCTTAATGTAAGTGCATACGTAGTACGCCTAGCGTTCTAGGGCTGCGCACAATATATATATATATATATATATATATATATATATATATATATATATATATATATATATATATGTATATATATATATATGTACGCATGGATATGTCTATTTTAAAAGAATACTATCTATCTTAGAATCCAATGGCAGGAATATGAACATTTTTGAAGGTGGCCCCACAGTGCCGCGTGGCCCTCCTTGAAATTCTGGATCCACCTCTGCCGTACGGTGACTTTTATCCCCGACGATTTCAAAGCGTGTCAATCTGGAGTGGCGCTATCTTTATATTGTGTGCTCCCACAATAAATTGATGGCTTCGGATTCAACACTGGAACTGAGACACAGATTCGGACCCGATGCATACCCAAACCCAGTCTTCAAGAATCGGACTCGAAGACTCATGAAAGCCGTGAAGATCACTGGACTCTGACTCATACATGCGTAATTTGGTAGCGCAACTCGGGACTCGAACTCAAGATTCATGACACCGGGGCTGGGACTCGCGATCAAACTCAGGTTCTTGGATTCGAGACGCATGCTGGGCCGAAAACATGCTTATTGAACGTGAATTGAAACTAACGAACCCAAGGCGCATTTCAAATAGCACATTATGGAGCTGATGGAAAGATCAGTTGAGACTGGATCCAGACTTGTCGGGCAATGAAGGGAGAGGTAACAGCATGAATACAAGGATGAGCAGCGCTAGTGCTGAGGAGCTGGCTTGGCATGACAGCTGAAAAAGAACTCGTGATAAAAGGCGCGAAATAGAACGGACAGCAGAACAAGAAGTGTGGTTTTAAGACGCATGTCTCACGGGCGCGAGGCAGGGACGCGTTCAGCCAATGGTGTTGCCTCACTGGACAGGAGTAACTGTGATCCCTTCGAGCGGTGCAGCTTTTTTAGGTCATCGTCGTGGCTACATACAGGCGATGTTTGCTAATTGTACTGATACCAATATTTGTTCAGTTGAACAAAACAGAACTGAGTTATATTTCTCATTATCCAAGACAATTCTTGACTTTCTGAGTTAACATTATAAGGCTTTCTCTC